AGGTGCTACTGAGCGTGTGCGGTTACCCGACGTCAACAGGTGCTACTGAGCGTGTGCGGTTACCTGACGTCAACAGGTGCTACTGAGCGTGTGCGGTTACCTGACGTCAACAGGTGCTACTGAGCGTGTGCGGTTACCTGACGTCAACAGGTGCTACTGAGCGTGTGCGGTTACCTGACGTCAACAGGTGCTACTGAGCGTGTGCGGTTACCTGACATCAACAGGTGCTACTGAGCGTGTGCGGTTACCTGACGTCAACAGGTGCTACTGAGCGTGTGCGGTTACCTGACGTCAACAGGTGCTACTGAGCGTGTGCGGTTACCTGACATCAACAGGTGCTACTGAGCGTGTGCGGTTACCTGACAGTAAACAGGTGCTACTGAGCGTGTGCGGTTACCCGACATCAACAGGTGCTACTGAGCGTGTGCGGTTACCTGACATCAACAGGTGCTACTGAGCGTGTGCGGTTACCTGACAGTAAACAGGTGCTACTGAGCGTGTGCGGTTACCTGACATCAACAGGTGCTACTGAGCGTGTGCGGTTACCTGACATCAACAGGTGCTACTGAGCGTGTGCGGTTACCTGACAGTAAACAGGTGCTACTGAGCGTGTGCGGTTACCCGACGTCAACAGGTGCTACTGAGCGTGTGCGGTTACCTGACATCAACAGGTGCTACTGAGCGTGTGCGGTTACCTGACAGTAAATAGGTGCTACTGAGCGTGTGCGGTTACCCGACGTCAACAGGTGCTACTGAGCGTGTGCGGTTACCTGACATCAACAGGTGCTACTGAGCGTGTGCGGTTACCTGACAGTAAACAGGTGCTACTGAGCGTGTGCGGTTACCTGACAGTAAACAGGTGCTACTGAGCGTGTGCGGTTACCTGACATCAACAGATGCTACTGAGCGTGTGCGGTTACCTGACATCAACAGGTGCTACTGAGCGTGTGCGGAAACCTGACGTCAACAGGTGCTACTGAGCGTGTGCGGTTACCTGACATCAACAGGTGCTACTGAGCGTGTGCGGTTACCTGACAGTAAACAGGTGCTACTGAGCGTGTGCGGTTACCTGACATCAACAGGTGCTACTGAGCGTGTGCGGTTACCTGACATCAACAGGTGCTACTGAGCGTGTGCGGTTACCTGACATCAACAGGTGCTACTGAGCGTGTGCGGTTACCTGACAGTAAACAGGTGCTACTGAGCGTGTGCGGTTACCTGACATCAACAGGTGCTACTGAGCGTGTGCGGTTACTTGACATCAACAGGTGCTACTGAGCGTGTGCGGTTACCCGACATCAACAGGTGCTACTGAGCGTGTGCGGTTACCTGACAGTAAACAGGTGCTACTGAGCGTGTGCGGTTACCCGACATCAACAGGTGCTACTGAGCGTGTGCGGTTACCTGACAGTAAACAGGTGCTACTGAGCGTGTGCGGTTACCCGACAGTAAACAGGTGCTACTGAGCGTGTGCGGTTACCTGACAGTAAACAGGTGCTACTGAGCGTGTGCGGTTACCTGACATCAACAGGTGCTACTGAGCGTGTGCGGTTACCTGACAGTAAACAGGTGCTACTGAGCGTGTGCGGTTACCTGACATCAACAGGTGCTACTGAGCGTGTGCGGTTACCTGACATCAACAGGTGCTACTGAGCGTGTGCGGTTACCTGACATCAACAGGTGCTACTGAGCGTGTGCGGTTACCTGACAGTAAATAGGTGCTACTGAGTGTGTGCGGTTACCTGACAGTAAATAGGTGCTACTGAGCGTGTGCGGTTACCTGACGTCAACAGGTGCTACTGAGCGTGTGCGGTTACCTGACATCAACAGGTGCTACTGAGCGTGTGCGGTTACCTGACATCAACAGGTGCTACTGAGCGTGTGTGGTTACCTGACGTCAACAGGTGCTACTGAGCGTGTGCGGTTACCTGACATCAACAGGTGCTACTGAGCGTGTGCGGTTACCTGACAGTAAACAGGTGCTACTGAGCGTGTGCGGTTACCTGACATCAACAGGTGCTACTGAGCGTGTGCGGTTACCTGACGTCAACAGGTGCTACTGAGCGTGTGCGGTTACCTGACAGTAAACAGGTGCTACTGAGCGTGTGCGGTTACCCGACATCAACAGGTGCTACTGAGCGTGTGCGGTTACCTGACATCAACAGGTGCTACTGAGCGTGTGCGGTTACCTGACATCAACAGGTGCTACTGAGCGTGTGCGGTTACCTGACATCAACAGGTGCTACTGAGCGTGTGCGGTTACCTGACATCAACAGGTGCTACTGAGCGTGTGCGGTTACCTGACAGTAAACAGGTGCTACTGAGCGTGTGCGGTTACCTGACATCAACAGGTGCTACTGAGCGTGTGCGGTTACCCGACGTCAACAGGTGCTACTGAGCGTGTGCGGTTACCTGACAGTAAATAGGTGCTACTGAGCGTGTGCGGTTACCTGACAGTAAATAGGTGCTACTGAGCGTGTGCGGTTACCTGACAGTAAACAGGTGCTACTGAGCGTGTGCGGTTACCTGACAGTAAACAGGTGCTACTGAGCGTGTGCGGTTACCTGACAGTAAACAGGTGCTACTGAGCGTGTGCGGTTACCTGACAGTAAACAGGTGCTACTGAGCGTGTGCGGTTACCTGACTCTGCAGCTGCGATGCCTCCTTGGCGTGCCGAGTATCTAAAGTCTCAGGTAAAGTCGAGTACTCTGACTTTGTTACGTCTTTCTTTCCTGATTCTTTGTACTTTATCTGAACACAAAACAAAAAGCTAGCTTCGCATCTTTACCTGCAGCATGTAAAACCTTCAGAAACAGGTGAATATCATCTGCATATGTGATGACTCTGACTTCTATGCTGAACCCTCACATAGAATAAACCACTTCTGTCTCCCTGTGCCGCACCGAGCTGAAGATAAAACCATCTGAAGACCTTCTCACCTCGCTCTGCAGCTCAGAGACAGATTTAGCTAACCGAGTCTCTGCGGTTTCTGGAAGCTGAGAGTAAAAACTCTGGGAGAGGTTCCTCTTCCCGTTCTCCTTGTACTTGTTCTGGAACAAAAGGGAGATTAAATGAAACTGTAAACACCTTTAAAACGGATAAATGTCCTGAACGTGATGTCGCCCAGCTAAAGCTTGTAGATCCGGTCTGATCAACACAAAGTTTGGTGATATTTTATGAGCAGCTTGATTCTCTTTGATCTTGTTCCTGATGCTAATCTGGCCTCTGATGTGAGTCTGAGCAAAAAACATCACAGAGCATCGGCTAATGGGGCCGGTGGTTATTTATAACTAATCAAACAGCCTCCCGGCTGCAGCTTCCTGAGGGGAAAACTGTCTTTTTTCATTCATTTTCACAACGTTTAATTAATTAAGTCTGATTTTATTCCTGCATCTCCAAAATGTCACTCTATCAAACCCAAAACTGCATTTAACTGTAAGGTTGTATTTTCTCCAGAGTGATCCGTATCAGCGGGAACAGGTAGGGAGGTTTCCAGGTGTTTACCTCACTCATCATGTCGGTCATCTCTCGAGCAAAGCTGGTTTCCAACGTGTCGGGCAGAGTGGAGTACAGGGAGCCGGACATCTTCCCTTCCTCTTTATATTTACTCTGTGGAAGTGGAAAACACCTCCATCACATCTGGTTATACCATTCCACCCCAATGTGGCGTCACCCTGAGCGGATTTAACCAGTTATATCAGACAGAAAAAGCCTTTTATTTCCACTTCTTGCTTATTTCAGCTTCTCCTCAACATAACCTCTGAATAAAGAAAACATGGAGCCCTTTCCAGATTGTGATATTTTCTCCGACATCAGAACATCATCGCTGATCAGATGTGGGTCTCTGAAGCCGGCTGAGTCGCTACCTCACTGAGCAGCTCTGCAGCTTCTTTGGCCCTCTGCGTCTCCATGGTGTTGGGCAGCTGAGCGTAGAGACAGGAAGTGGCCTCCTTCTTCCCCGCCTCCTTATACCTGGTCTAGTTAGAGGCAAGGTGGAGGAGATTCATGATTGTGGTTGAACGTGGGTTTAATCAGTCAAACGTCACAAATAAAGCTTAGAATGAAAAAGCACGGCGGCGGAGCTACCTGACTCTGCAGCTCAGACAGATGTTTCGCCAGCTGTGTCTCTGTAGTCTCTGATAGTTTATGGTACAAGCTGCTCTGGATGGTTTCCTTCACTTCTTCTTTATATTTGACCTGAAGCAGAGGGAGGTGGAATACTTAACCGTAAAATCCACCTTTCACACTGAATGAACGTGTGAAAGGTGGAGGAAACACCGGACAGGTGACCTCACTGCTTCTGCTGGCATGTACCTGACTCTGCAGCTCTGATGCTTCTTTAGCGTGATGCGTTTCCATGGTTTCCGGCATCAGCGAGAACAAGTTGATGCTCATCTCCTTCTTACCGTCTTCTTTATACTTCAGCTAAAAACAAACAGAGAATCTGGTTTTTAACGTTTGACTCCGAATAAAAACACAGATCTGAGTAATAAGCATCGGTTTTATGGTCTTTTTATTTCCGAGTCGTTCTGCCGTTACCTCGCTGAGCAGCTCAGCAGCTTCTTTAGCGTGAGACGTCTCTAAAGTCTCCGGCAGCTGATGGAACAAAGTGGAGGACAAATCTTTCTTCAGGGCTGCTTTGTACTTCAGCTGAAGGGCAGGAAGACAGAAAACAGTCTAAAATCACACGAAGAACATTTACGATGAGTGTGGTGTTCCACAGGGCTGAGCGTTCGGTCCCATGATTATTTATTTACAGACTTTTAAACAAAATGAAATCAAAACTAGATCAAAGTCAGCAAAAGCCACAAATCACAAAAGCATTTATTATAAATTTTACATTTATATTTTAGATGTTTACGGCAACATCCCAAGAAAATCCCAGTAATCCTAAATATTTATGATCATCCGATGAGTCAGGATGAACTCAGTGAATGTTTTCAGACTGGGCCTCCCTGACATGACGTAGAGCATCAGGAGGAGGCAGAAGATGGAGATGAGACGCTACCTCGCTCTGCAGCTCAGAAGCCTGTTTGGCGTGAAGTGTCTCCAGAGTTTCTGGCAGCGTGGAGTACAGCGAGCGTGACAGATCTTCACTTCCCTTCTTGTACTCCCTCTAAAGTTCACACAAACACTTCAATAATTCTAGTTTTAAAGAAAACAAGGATCATAATTCATTAAAACCAACATGAATCAACTCTTCTGTTCTTAAAAAAACAGATAAAGACAGGAATAATTAAACTCTTAATTTAACTTGTTTGCATTTAGATCTTCCTTTAACCCTTTAAATTAGGATTTACCTAAACTAATAAAAGGCTGGATTTCATTCAGTTGTCGTGGTTCTGGAGCTTTATTTTAGTTTTTAGTCCTTAAAGAGCAAGTCACCCCCAAATCAACTTATTTTTCTGATAAACTATATAAATGTGTGTCTAATCGTGCTGCAGACATGTGTAGTCAATAGTTTAGCACTTTAGTGCATTTCAGTTAAAATTTAAATTTTCTGCCTAAAACTGTCAGTGTTGTGCCGTTGTCAGGTAAAAACTCTGCACTGCATTTGAATTTAAATCTGCCATCGCTATTGGCTAAGAGGTACCCTAGAACGTTAGCTGGTACCATATGATGTCACAATGTCGTTGTGAGCCTGTGTGTGTGTGTGTGTGTATGTGTGTGTGTGTGTGTGTGTGTGTGTGTGTGTGTGTGTGTGTGTGTGTGTGTGTGTGTGTTAGCGGCTCTGCCCTCTCGGTCTGCTAGGCAACAGCCTTTGTTGCATTTTTCAAACTGGAAGTGGGAGTTGAGTAAGAATCTGGTAGGGGGTGACTTGCTCTTTAAATAAAACAGCGATGATGTGTTTGGGGAACAAAAGGCTGATCAGCTGATCCAATAGCATCTAAATTTAACCACGAGCTCCATTCTCACCTCGCTCTGCAGCTCCTCAACCTTTCTGGTGAATTTCATCTCAGCTGTTTCTGGCAGCTGACTGTAGAGGCTCTGAGGGAGGCTCTTAATCCCGTTCTCCTTGTATTTAATCTGTCACGGCACACAAACAGCAGAGTGGAGCGATGTTTACCTGCATGTCTTCTCTGTATTCGTGATGAAGCAGCTTTATTTATCTGCACCGTGAATGAGCTCTGCCCTGGACGAACACAGACGCGTGTCCTCATAAATCAGCGCTGACGACCTCATTAATGCGGACTGTAGCAGCGCAGCACCGTTAAAATGCAAATGAATGAGGCTGGAACTCAGATAAGCTCTTTGATGTCTTTAGTGGAGAAGATCAGACCTGTGATGGCCGAGCAGCATGCATGAGGAACCTTACATCTGAATAAGTCTGCCTGAACGCTGACGTTTCAGGGGCAGCAGTAGCTCAACAGGTTGAGCGGGTTGTCCAGTAATCAGAAGGTTGCAGGTTCGATCCCGGACAGAGAATTCTGCTGTTGTGTCCTTGGGCAAGACACTTAACCCACCTTGCCTGCTGGTGGTGGTCGGAGGGACCGGTGGCGCCAGTGCTCGGCAGCCTCGCCTCTGTCAATGTGCCCCAGGGCAGCTGTGGCTACATCGTAGCTCATCACCACCAGTGTGTGAATGTGTGTGTGAATGGATGAATGATACACTGTAGTGTAAAGTGCTTTGGAGTCCTTACTCTGAGAGGCGCTGTACATGTGCGGGTCATTTATCATCATTAATCATCTAAACATGAGGAGCAGAAGCAGAGCTCTGGGTACCTGACTCAGGACGTCGCTCATCTCTCTGACGAAGCTGCTCTCTAAGGTTTCGGGCAGGCTGGAGAACAGAGACCTGGACATTTCCTTCTTCCCGTCTTCTTTGTACTTCACCTGGGAGAAACACCCCTCGTTCACACATCTGACTGTATTCACCTGTTGATACGGTTGAAACGCTCCCGTCTCACCTGACTGAGCAGCTCTGAGGCCTCTTTAGCGTGCTGAGTTTCCAGCGTCGCCGGCAGCAGCGAGTACAGGGAGTGACCAGCCTCCTTCTTACCAGACTCTTTATACTTGGCCTGAAAACCAGAAACTAACTTTAACAGTTTTGGCTTCATAAGAGAAAAGCGTTTATTTATTTTTAACATGTGGTATAAAACAACTTCTGTCACAACTTTTTAGATTGAATGAAATGCAGCTTTTAAAATGCAGATTAAGAGACAAAGGCTGAAAAACAGAACGTTTGTCTCAGTTAAATGATGTCCCCTTAATCTGGTTCTGGTTCTGGTACCGGTAATAGCTTTATTACTGAGCTACAGCTCAGCCAATCAGGGATCAGGCTGCTGTTTTGGTGCATCTCTTGTTGTTTTTATGAAATCGAGCGTTGATGCTGATGCTGGCGTCGGGTTGCTGCTACCTGACTCTGCAGCTCGGACAGATGTTTGGCCAGCTGTGTCTCTGGGGTTTCTGCTAGTTTATGGTACAAGCTGCTCTGGTTCTTCTTCAGTCCTTCTTTATATTTGACCTGAGGGAGAAACGGGTGGTTCAGCTCTCTGATGGGTTAACAGCAGTGAGAGATGATCATCTAAACCAGAGAAGTCTGGACCTGACTCTGCAGCTCTGACGCTGCTTTGGCGTGTTGCGTTTCCATGGTTTCCGGCAGCAGAGAGAACATGTTGATGCTCATCTCCTTTACACCGTCTTCTTTATACTTCAGCTGTAAAAAACAAAAACATGCAGACTTCATCACGAATCCAGAAGGAAACGGCTAAAATGATCTATTATCAGGTTAATGAGCTGAGTCGAAATCAGCTTTAAAAGGACTTGTGTTTAACTTATCCTGCTGCTTTATTTTATTTAATTTATTTACTTATGGACTCATATTTAAGGAGGATAAAAGCACTTGAGATGAAGCATCTCGTTTACAAGCGGGTCCTCCTGGAAACAAAGCTGCAAATACAAAGACAAGATAGCAGAGCGATCATCTGAACTCAAAACAAAATGACAAATTAACACTACCACAATAAAAATAATCATAATAATAATTAAAAATAATTAAAATAATAATAATAATTCTAAAAATGAAATAAAAAATAATAATAAATAAATTATAAAAATGAATAAAACAAAGAAGTTGGCTAATAAAATAGAATACTTTGCATGAACAAATGTACTAAAGTACTTTTACATGAAAATATGATGACAAACAACACAACTACATGGTAGAGAGACGACTAATACACAACTCAGAGAAATGTAGGTTTAAAAGTATAGTATGACTAAATGATGACACAATATTAATTCAAAACCAGCTACAGATGATGTTTTGCACTCATGGACTGTGTTAATATTAGTGGAGGAAAGAGAACGAGTTAAGCAGTCAAACATGAACATCTGGAAGAGCTGCATCACCTGGCTGCAGAGCTCGGAGACTTCCTTTGCTCGCGCCGTCTCCAACGTTTCTGCTAACGTTGAGAACAAGCTGGACGTCTGCCCTGCCTCTCTGCAGCGCGTCTGAAAACAAACAGTTCATTAAACGTGGTGTTTGTTTTGTGTGTGAGGGGAGGGCAGCCTCTCACCTGACTCTGCAGCTCAGCCACAGATTTAGCAAACTGGGTCTCTGCTGTTTCAGGCAGCTGAGAGTAGAAACTCTGAGAGAGGCTCTTCCTGCTGCTCTCCTTGTACTTACTCTGAGAGAAACACACGCTCATCAGCTGTTCAGCATTCTGATAACGAGACAGAACCCAAACCCGGGAAACTCAGGTCCTGAGTTCGTACCTCACTGTGGAGCTCCGTCATCTCCCTGGCAAACTGGATGTCTGAGGTGTCAGGGAGCTGAGAGTACAGAGACGATGGGGCTCCTTTAGTCAACAGCCGGGGTCGATAGTTCACCTGGAGGAGAGACAGAACTAGTTACCTTTACAGGAAGCTGCTGGTACGGTTACCAGCTAGGCATTGGTACCTCACTCTGCAGCTGAGAAACCTCCAGAGCGTGTTGGATCTCTGGAGTCTCTGGAAGCTGGGAGTACAGGGAGATGGAGGCTTTTCTCTTCCCGTCTTCTTTGTACTTTTTCTGAAACAACAAAATCAGGTTTTGAATAATCAGACGATGAATCAAATCAATATTTTATTGTGAGAAACGGAACAGCAGCTAGTTTTAGCCCAGTAGCCTCCGTGTGGATGGAGAAGAACATCAAAGTCATTGTGAACCATCTGCTGCATCTGATTCACCAGACAACAGCTCTGATAACATGAGAACATGTGCAGGTGTGACACATGTGCAGGTGTTTCACATGTGCAAGTGTTACATATGTGCAAGTGTTATACATGTGCCAGTGTTACACATGTGCAGGTTTTACACATGTGCAGTGAACATGTGCAGGTGTTACACATGTGCAGGTGTTACACATGTGCAAGTGTTACACATGTGCAGTGAACATGTGCAGGTGTTACACATTTGCCAGTGTTACACATGTGCAGGTTTTACACATGTGCAGTGAACATGTGCAGGTGTTACACATGTGCAAGTGTTACACATGTGGAGGTTTTACACATGTGCAGGTGTTACACATGTGCAGGTGTTACACATGTGCAAGTGTTACACATGTGCCAGTGTGACACATGTGCCAGTGTTACACATGTGTGAATGTTACACATGTGCCAGTGTGACACATGTGCCAGTGTTACACATGTGTGAATGTTACACATGTGCCAGTGTTACACATGTGCAGGTATGCACCACAAAATGGCTGCCGAGGTGCTGACACACAGCTTGACAGGTCCTGTGTGTTTGCTGAAAAAGTAATCTAAAAAGCGTGAAGGACCTTGGATTGTACTATCAAAGTCCTGCTCTGTGGTGTGGATAACTCTCTATCTTCTGTTGACCTCAGCATGTCCAAGAAAAATTAGCAGTCAACCCTGTATCGAGCCAGATGGAGTCAGCATATGCTGTCCACTAGAATACTGGACTATGGCCATGCCAGGCCACCCCAAGATGAACAGGAACAAGCCTTCACAGCTAGACCGCTGATGCTTCTCTTGGCTGGGGATGTTGAACTAAACCCTGGGCCTCAACCTTTAACTGGATTAGCCCCATGGCTAGCCGGACCAGTGCTGACTGTGCCGCAACCTCTGAAAGTGGTATTAGCACCACTACCAGCTAGGCCTCCACTTCCACTAGCTGGACCTCTACCTCTGCTTTCAGGTTGTTTACATCTACTAGCCGGGCAATCACCATTGCCAGCTGGGCCACAGCCTCTGTTGGCTGGGCCTTCACCTTTGTTGCATGGGCCTCCACCACTACTGCATGGGTCCCCGCCTCTGCTGAGTGGGCCTTCACCTCTGTTGCATAGGCCTTTACCCCTGCTACACGGGCCTTAATATGTACTGCATGAACCTCCACTTTGGCCACATGGACCCTCACTTTGAAGCGCCTCGTGATTTTTATCTTGAGAGGCGCTATAGAAATGATATTTTCTTTTTTCTTCTTCTATTTCCCAGGCCTCCACCTCTGCCGCCTGGATCTCTACCAGGGCCTTCACCTCGGCCTGATGGACCTCCACTTCTGCCACATAGACTTCCACCTCTTCTTCCTGGGCCCCTACCTCTGTTACCTGGGCCTTCACCTTCGCTGCTCAGGCCTCCACCTTTTCAACCTGGGCCCCTGACTTGGCCGGGCGGGCCTCCACCTCCGCTGCCCGGACCTCCACCTTTGCCGCCTGGGCCTCTGACTCGGCCGGCTGGGCATCCACCTCGGCTGCCTGGGCCTCCATCACATCTGCATCGACAGGGCTAATGCTCCACCGGCTGCAGTTTTGCGACATTCACCCAACGCGATATGTGCTATGTCATCAGAGCACGATAACAACAAAGCCTAATAAGGGAGCACACAAGGAAGTAAATTATCGGCGTCTTGGAAAACGTGGAGTAGATTTCAGCCTTCTCCGCTCTCTCCCACAATGTAAGATAATAAGCAAATTAAAACTAGAGCTCTTCAACACCCAGTCATTGGAGTAGTCTAGTCCTGGATCATATTACTGGCAAAAAAATAGATCTGGCACAAACCAGATTCATATCTGTCGCTAAATGAAGCCTGCCCACCAGGGTATACATATCTGGAAAAGGCTAGGACCAGCGGCCGTGGTGGGGGGCTAGCTGTTATCCATCGAAGCGACTTCATTGTAACCCCCCTCCCAACGCAAGAGCCAAAAACTTTTGAATGTCTGCTCTTTAAATGCAGACCACAAAAAGAAGCAATTACCATGCTTCTAATCTATCGTCCTCCAAAACCACAACCTGGGTTCATCTCTGAAATGCAAGATCTTACATCACTCTGTGCAATGTCACATAATACACTTATTATGGGTGATTTTAATCTGCATGTAGATTGTCCCACAAACCGTTCTGCAGTTGAGTTTCTGGATGAACTAGATTGCTTACACCTTACTCAACATGTCACAGTTCCTACACACACAGGTCATACCCTAGATTCGGTCATTACAGACACTCCCGCCATTACAAACTTACAGGTTTATGACTTAGGCGTGTCTGACCATACTGTTGTCTCCATGGAACTGCCACTAAAAGACACATACAGTAAGCCAAAACGTCAGATCCATTTCAGAAATTTTAAAGCCATAGACCCCATCCGCTTTAATCAGGACATTCAGAATATTCTATCAGTTAAAATCACACGTCAGTAAACAAATCTGTTCACAATTACAACCTAAACCTCCACAAGATTCTTGAATCACATGCACCAATAAAAACAAGGTCAGTTACATTCTCCAGGTCAGCCCCATGGTATACAACAGAACTACGCAAAATGAAAACAAATGGCCGTGCCCTGGAGCGTCTGCTTACCTCCAAGGGGTTGCCTGTTCATAAACTGGCCTACTGGGACCATCAAAGAACATACTCTAGAGCACTCACTGCCGCCAGGACAAAATATTTTTCACAGAAATTCGTAAACAGTGCTGGAAACTCAAAGCAGCTATTCTACACCATAAATTCACGGCTAAGCCCTCCTACACATCCACATACTGACACTAGCATAGATAAATGCAATCGGTTCATGGACTTTTTTACCAACAAGGTGGCATCAGTCCGATCCTCCATCAGTCGTACAGTTCGCCATCCGTTTGACTCCACCCTTCCACATACATTAAATACCTTTTCTGATTTCTCAGCAGCCACCCAGACACAAGTGGAGAAAACAATAAAAAGCATGAATACCTCAACCTGCTGCCTTGACCCTCTCCCGACACAACTTTTAAAATCAAATATTACAGTCGTCACTCCATTAATGACTACAGTTATAAACCAGTCATTACACTCAGGTCAGGTTCCCTCAGCACTCAAAAATGCAATAATTCGTCCCCGTCTGAAAAAGCCCTCTCTAAACGCTGCTATCTTGTCCCATTACAGACCCATCTCTAGCATACCGTTCTTAGCTAAAATACTGGAAAAACTGTAGCACGCCAACTCCACAATCATCTCAACACTCATAATCTGTATGAAAAATTCCAGTCCGGTTTCCGTTCAGCCCACAGCACAGAAACTGCCCTGGTCCGTGTTAGGAATGATTTACTTCTAACTGCGGATCAGGGCTCACCATCTCTTCTCCTCCTACTGGATCTGTCAGCGGCGTTTGACACTGTGGACCATACCATCTCACTAAATCAACTCCAGACTGTGGTTGGCCTTTCGGGAACCACACTTCATTGGTTCCAGGAGTACCTTGCAGGCAGAATGGAATTTGTAGCTTTAGGACAATGTCAGTCATCCCCCCACACTGTAAATTGTGGAGTACCACAGGGGTCTGTTCTTGGGCCAACCCTCTTCTCCATCTACATGCTTCCACTTGGACAAATTTTCCATAAATACAAAATATCGTTTCACTGTTATGCAGACGACACTCAGTTATACATGAAAATGGACTCCACTACACCCAAAACTCTTCCATCTGTACTTCAGGTCTGCCTGGAGGAGATGAGGGCATGGATGGCCGCAAATGTTCTTCAACTAAACAGTAATAAAACTGAAGCTATCATTATCGGCACTCCACATCAAACAGTCTCTCTCCCTTAGCAGTATTTCCATTTTCGGTCATGACATTCCCCTTTCCTCTACTGTAACAAATCTTGGTATCAGACTAGATTCAAATCTTACATTTGACACCCACATCCGCCACCTCTGCAGGGTCTCTTTTCTCCACCTCAGAAACATTGCTAAACTCCGTCCCTCTCTTTCCCAGCCAGATGCAGAGAAATTGGTCCATGCGTTTATCTCCTCCAGGTTGGACTATTGCAATGCCCTCCTCGTTGGGGCCCCCGGCAAGAGCATACAAAAACTCCAGCACATCCAGAACTCAGCTGCCCGGGTCCTGATGAGGAGACGCAAATACGATCATATCGCTCCAGTTCTGAGATCACTTCACTGGCTGCCCATCCAATATCGAGTTCAGTACAAAATTGGCCTTCTTACTCACCAGTGCATCCATGGAACTGCTCCTGCCTATCTGAGCGAACTTCTCATCCCACACACTGCCACAAGAACCCTCCGCTCTACCACCTCTTCACACCGCCTGCACCAACCACTGACTAAACTCTCCACTCTGGGAGACAGGTCCTTCAAGGCAGTGGCCCCTCGATTTTGGAATTCTCTCCCAGAGTTTCTAAGGGCCACACAATCTGTGGAGCTTTTCAAAAAAGGCCTCAAGACCTTTTTGTTTAATAAGGCTTTCTAGTGCACAACGACCTATTGAGTGTTTACTTCATTGTGTTGTTTTTACTTATTGTTTGCATCTACTGTAATGACTTTTTAGATGGGTTTTATTTACTTCTGGGGACTGTTTTCATTTTCCATACTTGACAGTATCCTGAAATTTTAGCTGTGTTTTTAACTAGCTGTGTACCTTATACCTGTCCCCTATACTCGAAAGCACTTTGAGATTACTTCTGTAATGCAAAGCACATTATCAATAAAATGTATTATTATTATTATTCTGTGCAGGTGTTACACATGAGCAGGCGTTACATACAGTGGGGCAAAAAAGTATTTAGTCAGCCACCGATTGTGCAAGTTCTCCCACTTAAAATGATGACAGAGGTCAGTAATTTACATCATAGGTACACTTCAACTGTGAGAGACAGAATGTGAAAAAAAATCCATGAATTCACATGGCAGGATTTTTAAAAAATTTATTTGTAAATCAGGGTGGAAAATAAGTATTTGGTCACTTCAAGCAAGGAAAGTCTCTGGCTCTCACAGACCTGTAACGTCTTCTTTAAGAAGCTTTTCTATCCTCCACTCGTTACCTGTATTAATGGCACCTGTTTGAACACATTATCTGTATAAAAGACACCTGTCCACAGCCTCAAACAGTCAGACTCCAAACTCCACTATGGCCAAGACCAAAGAGCTTTCGAAGGACACCAGGAAAAGAATTGTAGACCTGCACCAGACTGGGAAGAGTGAATCTACAATAGGCAAGCAGCTTGGTGTGAAAAAATCAACTGTGGGAGCAATTATCAGAAAATGGAAGACATACAAGACCACTGACAATCTCCCTCGATCTGGGGCTCCACACAAGATCTCATCCCGTGGGGTCAAAATGATCATGAGAACGGTGAGCAAGAATCCCAGAACCACTCGGGGGGACCTGGTGAATGACCTGCAGAGAGCTGGGACCACAGTAACAAAGGTCACCATCAGTAACACACTACAACGGCAGGGAATCAAATCCTGCAGTGCCAGACGTGTTCCGCTGCTGAAGCCAGTGCATGTCCAGGCCCGTCTGAAGTTTGCCAGAGAGCACATGGATGATACAGCAGAGGATTGGGAGAATGTCATGTGGTCAGATGAAACCAAAGTAGAACTTTTTGGTATAAACTCAACTCGTCGTGTGTGGAGGAAGAAGAATACTGAGTTGCATCCCAAGAACACCATACCTACTGTGAAGCACGGGGGTGGGAACATCATGCTTTGGGGCAGTTTTTCTGCTAAGGGGACAGGACGACTGATCCGTGTTAAGGACAGAATGAATGGGGCCATGTATCGTGAGATTCTGAGCCAAAACCTCCTTCCATCAGTGAGAGCTTTGAAGATGAAACGTGGCTGGGTCTTCCAACACGACAATGATCCCAAACACTCCGCCTGGGCAACAAAGGAGTGGCTCCGTAAGAAGCATTTGAAAGTCCTGGAGTGGCCCAGCCAGTCTGCAGACCTCAACCCCATAGAAAATCTGTGGAGGTAGTTGAAAGTCCGTGTTGCTCGACGACAGCCCCAAAACATCACTGCTCTCGAGAAGATCTGCATGGAGGAATGAGCCAAAATACCAGCTACTGTGTGTGCAAACCTGGTAAAGACCTATAGTAATCGTTTGACCTCTGTTATTGCCAACAAAGGTTATGTTACAAAGTATTGAGTTGAATTTTTGTTATTGACCAAATACTTATTTTCCACCCTGATTTACAAATAAATTCTTTAAAAATCCTGCCATGTGAATTCATGGATTTTTTTTCACATTCTGTCTCTCACAGTTGAAGTGTACCTATGATGAAAATTACTGACCTCTGTCATCATTTTAAGTGGGAGAACTTGCACAATCGGTGGCTGACTAAATACTTTTTTGCCCCACTGTATGTGCAGGTGTTACACATGTGCAGGTGTTACATATGTGCAGGTGTTACACATGTGCAGGTGTTACACATGTGCCAGTGTTACACATGTGCAGGTGTGACAAATGTGCACGTGTGACACATGTGCCGGTGTTACACATGTGCAGGTGTTACACATGTGCCGGTGTTACACATGTGCAGGTGTTACATATGTGCAGGTGTTACACATGTGCCGGTGTTACACATGTGCAGGCGTTACATATGTGCAGGTGTTACACATGTGCCGGTGTTACACATGTGCAGGTGTGACAAATGTGCAGGTGTGACACATGTGCCGGTGTTACACATGTGCAGGTGTGACAAATGTGCAGGTGTTACACATGTGCAGGTGTTACACATGTGCCGGTGTTACACATGTGCAGGCGTTACATATGTGCATGTGTTACACATGAGCAGGTGTTACATATGTGCAGGTGTTACACATGTGCAGGTGTTACACATGTGCCGGTGTTACACATGTGCAGGTGTGACAAATGTGCAGGTGTGACACATGTGCCGGTGTTACACATGTGCAGGTGTGACAAATGTGCAGGTGTGACACATGTGCCGGTGTTACACATGTGCAGGTGTGACAAATGTGCAGGTGTTACACATGTGCCGGTGTTACACATGTGCAGGTGTGACAAATGTGCAGGTGTTACATATGTGCAGGTGTGACACATGTGCAGGTGTTACACATGAGCAGGTGTTACACATGTGCAGGTGTTACACATGTGCCGGTGTTACACATGTGCAGGTGTGACAAATATGCAGGTGTTACACATGAGCAGGTGTTACACATGTGCAGGTGTTACACATGTGCCGGTGTTACACATGTGCAGGTGTGACAAATATGCAGGTGTTACACATGAGCAGGTGTTACATATGTGCAGGTGTTACACATGTGCAGGTGTTACACATGAGCAGGTGTTACACATGTGCAGGTGTTACATATGTGCAGGTGTTACACATGAGCAGGTGTTACATATGTGCAGGTGTTACACATGTGCAGGTGTTACACATGAGCAGGTGTTACACATGTGCAGGTGTTACATATGTGCAGGTGTTACACATGAGCAGGTGTTACACATGTGCAGGTATGACACATGTGCAGGTGTTACACATGTGCAGGTATGACACATGTGCAGGTGTGCAGGTATTACACATGAGCAGGTGTTACACATGTGCAGGTGTGACACATGTGCAGGTGCTGCACCTGTCATCTCAGTGACATCAGCAGCAACTAGGAGGAGAAACTGAACTAAATGTGTTCTTCAGCCCTTGTGAGACTGAGCGTCGTTACCTCGCTCTGAAACTCGTGGACCGTCTTCGCCAGCTGCATCTCGCTGGTTTCAGGAAGCTGAGAGTACAAACTGTTGCTCAGCTCCTTCTTTCCTTCCTCCTTGTATTTGTTCTGAGGAGCAGGAAGAGTGGGAGGAGCAGGAGGAGTCAAGAAAAGAGAGAAGAGGAACAGACATCTTAAAAAACTTAAACTAAAACAGAACTGTCCATTTATTTGTCCCTGCCTCCTCCCCCTTCCTCCCTGCTCCTCACCTCACTCAGGATCTCGGTCAGCTCTTTAACAAACTGTGTTTCTGTGGTTTCTGGCAGCAGAGAATAAAGAGAAGAAGAAATCTCCATCTTCATGTTTCCTTTATATTTGATCTAAAACACAAAGAAAAAGCACGTTTTTCTGAGAGATCGACTCCAAATGAAACGTGGTGGTTCACCTGAGGAGCAGGTATAACTCTGTCCTGCATCAGCTCTTGGTCAGTGTAGATCTGACCTGTATCAGCAGCTCTGATGCTGCTGCTGCAGCTCACACCCTCACCCCACATGTTCCGTCATAAACGCTGCAGGCTTTTGGGATATTTTTACACCAACACGGATTCAGGACTGATGACACGTTGCCGTGGTGACGCCTACCTCACTCTGCAGCTCTGAAGCTTCTCTGGCATGTTGGGTCTCTGGAGTTTCAGGCAGGACGGAGTACAGAGACAACGCCGCCTCCTTCTTCCCCTCCTCTTTGTACTTGGACTGAAACAGTCACAGATTACTGCATGAGGATTAACACCTGGACTCTGCTGCGGGAACACGCAGAGGTCTCACCTCAGAAATCACAGCGCTGATGTTCTTGGCGTGGATGAGTTCAGCTCCAGGAACAAACAGACTCTGACCCTTCATCTTCTCAAAGTCCTCCTTGTATCTGACCTGGAGTCAGGAGGAAAGGTGATGAGCAGAGCTTCTGCTCAGGAGAGCGGGGTGAGATCTGTGTCAGACCCAGATCAGAGAGCAGCACGCCCACCAGTAAAACCAGTAACCAGTGGTGTCATCACCGGCCCCACAAGAATAAAATAAACAGTTTTCTCTTCTCCTGTTATCCTACAACCGGTTTCTCTCACTGACTATGTCATGAATACATCTGTGAAGTGGTTATGGTTTCCATGGGAACAGCAGTATTTTTATGGTTGACCTGCCGTCAGGATGGTGGTTAGTGAGCGACCCAGACTCGTGAAACAGAAAGAACCAGAGTCTGGATTCCTCTCTGGTTGAGAAGCATCTGGTCCTTTAGCGAGGAGGTCTCCTCGTGGATGCTGCTGGATGATCTGACCCGCCCCCTCCACCTGATGAGTCACTCTCCAAGTTTGACTCAAACCAGAGAGTCGATATCACGCCCTCCCACGTCCTGCAACATCATTCAGCCGCTCTCAGCTGTTCCTCTGAAGCTGCAGGCGTCCAAAGCGAGTTCCTTCTGCGCTGAATGAGGAGCTGGAGCTGATCGTTGCCCTTGGTAACGCTGCATCCAGCTCCTACCGAAGAGAGGAGATGGAAGCTCGCCCTGGTTCTAATGTTTTAGCAGCGGTGGCAAACGAGACAAAATAAATCCCAAATGACAGAAAACCCAGGAGTCTGCACGCCTCGGGTCAAAGGTCAAAGGTGGAAGCAGTCTGAGCTCACGAACAAACCACACGACTTCTGGAACAATGAGAGGACATGTTTACCCATGCTGAGCCCAGCTGACAGCATGGTTCTGGAGGACGGATGGTTTGTGGTTCTGGTGCTGCAGGACTCACCAAGTCCAGCAGGAACTCCTCTGGAGCCCAGAGTCTTCTAGAGTCTGATGGGAGCCCATCCGTCTGACACCTGAAGCTTGGACTTAACTGGGCCATGAAACAGAACCATGAACACAATCAAGGTTCTGCAGAGGTCCAGTCCGAGTCCAGACCAAAACCTTCAGAGAGCATCAGGAAGAGAGGAACCAGAACTCCACCAGAACCAGGAGAGACAGAAGGGTTCCTGCAGCTGGCAGAGGTTCTGTTGGACCGGCGGGTGGACTCACTGGTTCTGGGTCTTAGTGTTTACATGATGAGTCAGCTGTTATTAATATCAGAGCCTCGGCGTCAGAGACCTGTCCCCCAGCAGGTTCTGCCTCTGGGACAAACGTCTCCTCTACATCTACGGCCGGTCCTGCTGGGAGGTCCATCTCTGATGCAAACCCACACGGTTCTGAAGGCAGACCAACACGGTCGCCTCAGACCCGTTTCACCGTACCTAACCCTAACCCGACACCACGCTCTAGCAACGCTGAACTCACATCACTGATGATCACGCTGCATCTTCTGTTAAAGCACGGATCCGGAAGAGGAGCTTTTCCGTCTGACGATGCCTGGAAACACACACGAGGGTTGAACCTGGGGCTGCTGATGCAGAAAATAAGTGTACTGATAACAAAATATCATACTGGTCGATATCAATAATTATCGATAAGTATATTTAGGACGATCAGCTGGTCGGATGGGTTTGTTAGGAGGATCAGCTTTAAAATGATAAACGACCCACACATGTAACGTTCATCCATTCACACGCTGGGGATGAGCTACCATGTAGCCACAGCTGTCCTGGGGCGCACTGACAGAGGCGAGGCCACCGGTCCCTCCGACCACCAGCAGCAGGCAGGGTGGGTTGAGCGTCTTGCCCAAGGACACAACAGCAGCGTTCTCTGCTGGGATGGGACCTACAACCCTCCGATCAGTGGACAGGGCGCTCCACCTCCCGAGCTGCTGCTCTGATGAAGCTGATCGACATCATTCTCCACACTCAACTCGTTTGATGAAAGTAATGTTTTTATTTTATGATCTTCTTCTCTGATCACGAAGTTTGTTTCTAATAAATTCTGAAATCTGCAGAAAACTCAAACGTTAAAAATCTCACCTCGGATTCCCAAAGTCCCAAACGTTGCTTTGTTTTTGACTCCTCGTGCTCCCCTTCATCTCCTCCATCCGTCTCTTTTTCTCCATCTTCCTCCTCCGGGTTTTCCTCCTCTGTTACTCCTTCACCTTTGACCTCCTCCCTCTCCTCTGTGTCCAGCCTCCCCTCAGCTGAAGCCTCTGACGTCTCCATC